GATTCATTGCATTTCATCCAGGCTGCAAACCCCATCCCTCTCATCCCACTCTCAATGTTTTTCGTCAGATGTTGACTCCTCTCATTGTTTATTTTTTCCTCTTAGTTTAGGTTATGATGGCTCCTTTAGACTCCTCAATTTAGTGTAATTTTATAGCTTGCTTTTCCTTGAACCATCGCATTTTTAAATATCCTCCACCAGTCACTTAAATCTGTCAACCCCAAGCCACTTGTTATCAATCCTGAACGGGGCTGGTCCCGACTGAATACCCTCATCTTCTAAATGGATTTGAAAGCGATTTAAGTGAGACGGGGCAATAACTTCTAGCAAGCACTGGCCAGCTGCTGCAACAAGGTCGAAGACAGTAGGAAACGATCAATTCTAGACCATGAAGGGGGCCCTTGCAGATTAAACCAAGTCCATTGTCCCCCAACCAAAGACGTCCATCAACCCCAACCTATACAGATTCTCATGGAACTCCATTGCTTCAGCATTTAGAAAACTGATACCACTCTTTTCCTCCCTTCGTAAAACCATGTTAAAGTCTCCACCAACAACCCAATCATCGCCCCCTGACTGCTTACAGTCATCAGGCTCCTGCCACGACATCACCCCCTCTCCTCCATATTACCCCTGCAGTACACTCTAGTGAACAGCCATTTTTCTCCCCTCCTAATACTTTTAAAAAGGACGGACAGAGATGTCCGACCCCTCACCACTTCAGGACATTGTAATTTCTCTTCCTTCTACATAATGACAACCCCCCTCAGTCGCTCCTTTTGCAGGACTATAGTGTCATCCTACATCTCTAATATTTCATAAACTTCTATTATCACAAAATTCAAGTTTGTTTTCCTGAAAGCAAACCACATCCGACTTCCACTAATTAAGACAACCTTTAATTATCGCTTTCTTCTTGCTGTCGTTGCAACCCCTCACATTNNCGAAGTTTCTCCTCGGGTCGGATGCTATTAGCGGGTCTCGATCGGCCCCTCTTAATTGGGCTTCATTCTCTGAGACTCATTACACTCGGGCTTGGGTCCAGATCAGTGACCCATTTTGCTTTCTCCTCCCTTGTATATCTTTTTCTCTCAGTGGGCTCCCATCTAGTGTTATTTGAGGTCCCAACCCATCGCGAGACCATATTCTTATGGAACCCAAAACGACTACGGGCTCCTGCATTTTGCCCGTGCACCTGATTCCTCTCCAAAGTCATGTATCTTGCACCAGAGATCCGACCCAATGCATTCCCGGGTCTAGTCTGCCCTACCTGATTCACAGGTTTGCTATACGCCTGAAGCGCCACCACATAGGACTTTATCCTATCTACTTCCGTGGCAACGTGAATTGAAACCGAACAGTGAGGGCACTGAATCGAGGCTTTTCACAGAGTCGCTTGGACCAACTCCACTCTTTCCTCTGCTTTTTCATTTCCACCATATAGTTTTTTTGCTGAAGGATTAATCACAGGTCTTTCCGCCCAATCGAATGCCTGATTCATGAACAACCACCATCCCCTCCCTTGTTCTCCTTCTGGAGTAGAAATCCTGTTAGGCCTCTTTTCTCAGCCTTCAGATAAAATGATAAATAACCCATGTCTGTTTCTCCTGAAAGCAATCCACTACTCCCTATTTCTGCCAAATATTCGTCGCGACCATGGGACTTGATTACCCCAATAGAACTCCTCCAAAGAGTCGAGAAACCACTTTACCTCCTCCTTTTCTAGTAAAATCAGTACCCTTTACCCCCTGCAATTCTCACAAATTCTTAACCCATCCTTTGTTAGTTAAATCGAAAGTCTTCCTCTCAATCACTAGAAACTTCTTTCCTCCAAATGACAACATAGCCTTAACGTGGGTTACGAGCAGCCGAAGGCCATCGTGACCAGTCGTCACGCTCACTCACGCGCACTCAGTCATCACACTCCCTCACACGCACTCAGTCGTCACATATATTATGTAGCACTGACTAGAAAACTCTTCATTTTAGTATGCAGGTACAATATTATTAATGAAATGTATAAACTGGCATTAACATAAATTTCATTATAACTTTCAAACATCAAGTTCTCTGGCTACATACAAAATCATTAATAAACAAATAATAAATGACTAGAGTAACAGAGGCTCATGTTGAAGAAGTTCTCAGTCTATCTAATTCATACATGTAATATTTATTTGAGTGAAAGAAGCCTTGGGTTTTGGAGGGACTATGGTACTCCCTTGCACCAGTGGCCCTTTCCTTTTGATAGGAAGCACAGCACATTGAGGAATCTTACTGGAAAGCACTATATTTTATGTTAATAATGAGGTAGTGAATTGTTTTATGTGGAGCTTAGTCTGTGCAGAGCTAATTTAGCAATGGAGCTTTCGAGAGTAAGTAGTGGAGCATTTTGGAGGTGTTTGCTTCTCACTTTTATATTTCTTTTTGTGCAGTGTATTGAGCAAGGAATCTCATCAACATCTAGCGAAAGTGGTAGGCAGCCTGCTGAGGGTTAGATTGTATGCAGATGTTAGCTCAACTATTGACAGGTATTAGTCCAACTGCCAATAGTTTGAAAATTTTCATCATCCATATGGTCATAGTCTTCAGAACATGGAGGATGAGAAAAGTGGTGAGATCTTAAGACAGCAAATTTTGTTTTGACATGTTTTGGCATTCACAGTTTCTTGAAGTTGCTTGAATTTAATGGTAGTAGTATGAAGTGGTGCAAGCCATGGTGCCTCTGCCAGGAATTGGCTGGTTTTCGTCATCAAGTATTCATCACGGCCTGAGTTTCCTCTTGACCAAGAAGGCTGATTTCTTCATTGGCGTGCAGGAATCACATCCTGTGCATCAGACTTTCTTCATTTCTGTTACTCCTTTTAACCTCTAATAATCTGAACAGAACTGAGAGGACTTGAAGCCTGAAGGTAACCATGTGGACAAAGCTGCTGGATGTTCAAAATCTAATATCAGAAACAAATCAAGCAAAAGGAAACCTGGCTGCCTTTGAGCACCTTGCCTAGACCTTTTAAAAATAAAAAAGAAACCTGGCTGTCCTCTAGCACCTTGCCTGGAGCCTTTTGAAAACAAAAGTTCTTGCAGGATGTATGAAAATTTTTGGTACTGAAAACTGTATCCATATTGCAAATGCAATACCCGCATAAAATTGTCATCGTTACGCCAGCAGAAAGCCTGTAACTTAAACCTTATTCATTCCATTTGATGGAAATAGAGAGGAGACATAAGCAGCCTTCCAAAAGATTATCTAATTCTCTTCATGACATTCATATCAACAAGGATGAGAGAAAACAATGGTTCAAGGGAGGGATATAAGGTGAGAATATAATGATGATATATAACCTTAATGCTTAAGCACTTCTCATGTATTGTCTATTTACCCTTTTCTGGTGATACAAAAGTAATATGATTGTTATTGTTGTCGAAAGTTGAAAAAGTCCAAGAATATTAGCATTACACATAGTCCATCTAATGCTTGCTAAATGAGATATTTAGATCCTAATAGTAGCTTTTGTTTATGATAATAAATTAGGGTGATGTTCAGGAATGTTGCTCATTAACGTACTTGGTAGGTCATTAGATCTCAAAATAGCTATTCCTAGAAAACCAAAGTCTATCTAGCTATTCAATTGGTGGCCCTGTGGGTGGCACATCTCCCATTGGTCACCCTCTTTTGCTAATGTCCTGAAGACAAATGCAAAGAGAGATAAAATCAATCCAAATAGCTGATTCAAAATTCATGTTGGATCTTTCTTGGCTCTTGGCTCTTGTGGGCATGTTGTTGGAGCTTGCAAAAAAAAAAAAAAAAAAAAAGGAAACTCCAGTTAGCTTTGAAATCTTTCACTTTATGTTTGGTTTAGGAGAGCCAGAGATGTGGTTTGGACGGGACTATATCTATATCCGTCCTTGTACAGTTCTCTACATTATGATTAAGTTTTGGGTAAATTATATATTTGCTTTATATGTTTGGTGTAATTTAATTCAAATCATGGTTTCTTTTATTATGATAGTTTAGTTGTGTGAGAAATGTTTTTTTTTTTTTTTGTTAGTTTAATTAGTTTATTAATTTTTTAACTTATTATCTTCTATATTTAGATCTTTTCCTAATTTGATTTGTTTATGTTCAAATAGAAATAAATTTCTTTCAGTTCTAAAATGAAGGATAACAAACTTTTCATTGAAAAAATCATCTACTTTGAATTGCAATAAAACAAAACCTCATGGTTGGGTGAACGAGAGCACTTTGGCTTTTAAGAATTCTGAACTTACAATGTAAAAATTTTCAAGTTATGACCATTACGGTATAAGCATAGGTTATAGTTTCATTATGATAGATTATTGATATTTAATACAGAAATATAAGATTTTTATTATCTGTGAAACTAGACCAAAAAATAATTATGAGAATGTCATTTTTGTAAACTAAAAATAATGATGAGAATGCTGTGTACTGTGTATTGTAATTAAATAAACAATAAAACTGTATATTATTAAAATATATTCACTAGGAAATCAACACATAGAAAAAGCCACGTAAAAAATTTATAGTAAATATCCCGATGTAGATAACAGAGACACACATATTCCAATAATTAATTAACAATAAAAACTACAAATTAAAGTAGAAAAATGTATAGGGTGTGATCTAAATCTCGTCGTCCCATAGATCTTGAACCTTCTTGTATGGACTTGTTGTTTGGTTAATGAGAAAATCTCCTCTCATGATCTTTCTTTCCTCAAGATTATCAATCCCATCCAAATCTTCTTCGTCCAATTTCAGATTGAACGAGCCAATATTCTCCTTTAATCTCTCTGAATTGAAGCTCTTCGCGATCACACTCGCTCCTTTAGACATCCCCCATTTTAGAGCAACCTTCATCAAATCCAATTCGTTTTTATTACTTTTATGTTTTGATTATAAAAATATTCTATATATATGGTCGAAAATATTTTCTGTATATCTTACGAAATATTTTAAAAAATATTCTGTACATCTTCTGAAAGAAAATTATAATATTTTATTTATATAAAAATTTATAATTTTATTAATGAAATATTATTAATTTTATTAATAAAATAGTTTTTTTTTTAATTTTACTCGTTAATGCAGATATATTTATGGAACAATATTAAATCTTGTATTTTTTTTATTTTTTTTATTACTTTATAAAATTATTTGCGTATAGAAATTTTATTTTCTCCACAATTATTACTTCACTTCGCTTTTATTTTAGTGGTAAGAGAATTTTTATATCAATTTTTGCATATTAAAATTAATTTATTTTGGAATTATTTTAAGAGCATCCTAGATTTTAATCCCAAAATATTATGGATAGAAAGTCAAATTTTGAATAAAAAAATTTAAGGAACATAGTTTCTTTATAATTGAATTAATGTTTTATTGTTTGTATATGAATTGATTATATTAGATACCTGTGCTGGGGTTGCATGGTGTTTGAGAGCGATGGATTTGATGACAGGGCTATCAATCACAGCCGTTGATCCCCACACATTTCCTGGCCCACCAATTGGTGAATAGGCACTCACATGGATCTTATGTTCTGCACATATCTCCCTAAGCTTTTTCTGCCTCCACATCGGATGCATCTCCACCTATACATATAAACATATGTAAATTCAAATCATCTAAATTCAAGGCTTCATTCTACCATTGTGAATTGAAAAATTGGATCAAAGAAAAGAAAAGAAAATCATAAATTCTCAAATTTAACATATATATTTATATATATACATATATTTTACTTACTAATATATATATATATATATATATTTTTATAAAAAAAAAAAGATCCATTTTTATTGGAGTTTTTCCAATCCTGATTACATTAGAGTGAAAAGAACAAGGGTTTTGGTCTAATTTAGAATCCTTGAAGGTTCTCGTACATTTTAATAATTATGTAACATATAAAATTAATAATAAAATATTTAATAATATAAAAATATACAGTTAAATTAGAATTCATATATTTATTATAAAAAAAAAAAGATAAAAGTAACCTTCACTCTATCTATATGTATGTATGTATACATATCTGTCTGGTATTTAGAACAATAATTTGTTCTAAGCATGTGATGATATAGATAAGCTTGAGAGATGAATTTCTTACTTGAATTTGTCCTTTCGTGAAGAAAATAATAATAATAAATAAAATTATAAATGTATACTTACGGGATATATGCATCCGCGTTGACCTTATGGGTTTATTTGATGTTAAATATGTGTGATGAGAATATAATAATGGTGGTAGAAACCGACCATACCTCCCATTTATTATTATTATTATTTTAAAATTCCACAAAATAATATTTGAGGATATATATATATATATATATATATATATAGAAACTGAATACGCCAAGAGAAATACATTAATGTTGCAAAATATAAGTAATTTTCACAAAAAAAAATTTAAAATAAATTAATCATTAAACTTAGCTGTGTGGACAAAAAAAAATCTGAGTTGATTCTACTTAGATTATATTAATTTTTAATTAAATTTAAATCAAACTCGGTAAGAGAAAAAAAAAAAAAAGCTCGTCAAAATACGACCTCACACACACAATATATATTTATTAATTTAGTTAAAAAGTCTTATTTGATAAATATATATAATATATTTTTAATTTTAATTCAAAACATATTTTTATTTGATGTAATAGGATTGAATGTCACTAGACACAACTGATTTATCGAATTATCTAAATATATATTTAATTTTTTTATAATGTCAGATGAAATCTATAGAATTACCTGATTAACTGCTGGAGTAATAGAAGCAAAATCAAGAAGGCTAGGGATCTTGTTTGAAGAGAAATTACTGACACCATGCACCTGCAAAATCCCATTTCTAAGCTTTT